CCCTCCCTACCCACCCTGGTAACCATCAAAGAATGTTTTCTTCTGTGTTTAAACCTTTTCTTGAGTTCTTATAATAGTGATCTCATACAATATTTGTCCTTTTGCGACTGACTAATTTCACTCAGCATAACGCCTTCCAGATTCCTCAATTTGATAAGATGTTTCACGGATTCATTGTTGCTCTTTATTGTTGCGTAGTATTGCATTGTGTGAATATATCATAATTTGTTTATCCATTTGTCCATTGATGGGCACCTAGGTTGTTTCCATCTTTTTGCTATCATGAACAGTGCTGCAGTGAACATGGGTGTGCATATATCTATTCGTGTGACAGCTCTTATTTCTCTAGGATATATTCCAAGGAGTGAGATTCCTGAATCGTATGGTATTTCTATTTCTAGCTTTCCAAGGAAGCACCAAATTGATTTCCAAAGTGGTTGTACCATTTTACATTCCCACTAGCAGTGTATAAGTGTTCCAGTCTCTCCACAACCTCTCCAACATTTGATTGTTTAAACTTTTAATGTTGCCTACTCCTGGTAGATTAGGAAGTGATTAAAATAATGGATCTAGAGCTTGAGTGTACTCATTGTCCCTGAGGGCTTTTAACTCTTATTGGTCAGAGTCAGATTAGAGCTTCTCCAGAGAATTTTTGTTTCTTCTTTATTGGGTCCATAGGGAAATTAGAGAATTTCAATTCAGATTTGGGCATTGTTATGTCTTCCTGGTGGAAAATTATTTGTGGGAAGTTAGATGTGTGGCAAAGAATAGTATTAACCTTTTATAACTCCCTGGAACTCATAGGTTCAACTAGTCCGCCTTGTTGGGATGATGCTCCTTATATATGCCAGAAAGGACCAGTGGCGATATATCCGTGATGTTACTACAGAAACAGTTGGAACTGGAATCATGGGGAAAATGGTGAGTTACTTTGGAAATGAGGTTTACTGTTACTTATGTCCATGTGAAGTTCAGTTGCTGTTTGTGTCTTTGTACTAACTGAATTTTTACTCTTGCTAACAGGGAAACAAAGGTGGAGTAGCTGTGAGATTTGTATTTCACAACACTACATTTTGCATTGTCAATTCTCACCTGGCTGCTCACGTGGAGGACTTTGAGAGAAGAAATCAAGATTATAAGGACATTTGTGCGCGAATGAGTTTTGTGGTCCCAAATCAGACCCTCCCTCAGCTGAACATCATGAAACATGAGTGAGTGGTTAACTCTCCTTTAGCCTTTGAATAGTGGGGATAAGAAGAGGTTAAAGGTGGTGCGAAACTGGAGAGCTGTGAAGAGTGAGGTATTAGCATTTAGGGGTTGGGATCACAAAGAAGAAAGGGTGTTTAAGGACCAGCAGACTCATTGAGGCAGAGAAATAAGATTTGACATCATAGGAAAAGTTAGTTGTATTAGTGGGGCATCTAGAGTAATGCTGGAGGGGTCAATTTCATTCAGTTTTTATTATAAAATAGGATGTTCATTGTAAATGTAATAAAAGATTAAAAGTAAAAATCCCTATTTCTCATCCTCCACCCTCCCTAGCCAAGCCCCTCTCTCCAAAGGAAACCACCATGAACAGTTTAGTGTGTATCCTTCTAAATCTGTGCTGTCCAGTGTGACAGTCAGGAGCCACATGTGGCTATTGGACATGTGAAATGTGGCTAGTCCAAATTAATCTATGCTGTGAGCGTGAATTATGCACTGGATTTCAGAGACTTAGTAGAGAAAAAATGTAAAACATCTCGATTTTTAAAAAATGATTACATGTTGAAATAATATTTTGGATATATTGGGTTAAATAAAATTATTTTCACTTTTTTTTAAACTTTTTAAATGCAGCTACTAGAAAATTTAAAATTACATTTGTGACTTGAATTCTTTTTCTATTGAGTAGCCCTGTTCTAGCTTATCTCTAATGCACACACACAAAAATATACTTGTTATATAGGATTGTATTATCCTATTTCTTGTGGCTCTCTTTCCAAGTCAGTATATAGAGATCTGCATTATTCTTTTTTGTGCCTGTGAATCATTAAGAATAGGGGTAGAGGAGATTTAAAGACACCAATGGAGCAATAGGATAATATGAGCGAGAGATCAGTGAAAAATAGGCCTTAATAAGGATAGACACAGAAATCAGTTGACAAATGGATTGGGTGGTAGGAAATGATTAGTTGTAAGGAAATTAATGCTAGGGATTTAAATTCTGAGGGTGATTGGAAGTATATGGCTTGAGATGGGAATTCATAGGAAAGCAAAAGATGATTTAGGGGTATTAGAATCAATAGAGAGTCGAGTAATTGAGGAAAGAGTCGGGAAGGGTAGTGATATCGGACTGTTTCCATATTATGTCAACAATTAGAAATGTCATATGGAATTCTGTTTCACAGTGGTAAAGTCAAGGCATTGAAATTTATGGTCATAAAGTTGCCCTGAAATTCCATAAATTTATTTCTGCAGGATTCCATAAATTTCATGTTGTAATTGAGACTGGCAAAGTGACCCATTTGGAGCTTGAGATAACAAACAGGAGAACCTATTTCGGTGTGGTAATTTCAGGGTCTCCCTCTGTGGGGCTTTCCACACATCTAGAGGCCTGTTACGGTGATTGGGAGCTGGAGGATCCCATGCCATGCTAGTCTTCCTTCTTGCCTGGATCACTTGGACTGTAGATCTTGGGCAGGGGTAGACAGGTTGCCTACCCTGGAGAGGCTTAGACTACTTTCCTACTGGGCCCTACCTGGGAGAGCTGTCATTCAGATCATACAGACCTTAATGGAGAGCCTGCAGAACCTCAGCACTCTGAGAGGCAGAAACCGTTCAGATTCTCTTCCCTTAGAGGACCTGGCAAGCAGCCAGGCAAAATTTTGAAGCTAGTCCAGCAAGTAAACTTCATGCTTCTCAGTCAGTTTAACTTCTTGTCTTCTGAATCCCATACATATACTGTTTATTTCCTCATTTTTGTTCTTTATGTTTTCATGTATGGAATGCTTATTTCTCCCGCCTATTTTATAATCTGTGATGTCTCTCAGGTGTTGAGACTACTTGCCCCCAGAGAATCAGTTATAGCTTTAAACCCTTTGACAGATAGTGATAAATGAATTCTTATCAATAAATTACCCATTTTTCTTCTCTTCATTCTCCTCTGGTTAATTTTTTAATGCTAATTATGGCTACTTCTGTGCATATATTTCTTGATTCTCAGTGTTGTCATTTGGTTGGGAGATTTGAACTATAGACTTTGCATGCCCGATGCCAATGAGGTGAAAAGTCTTATTAATAAGAATGACCTTCAGAGACTCTTGAAATTCGACCAGGTAAGTAAATTTTTCATTTTATAGGTACTTCCCTAGATAGCAGATGAGACTATTAGGTTTGTGAAGTAGACACAGGGGAAGTATCTCTCACTCTAGGGAAGGAAGGTAAGCTCTTACTGTCTTGTGAAAACAGTGTGACTAGTGGTGTAACATGCATTGCATACATACAGGGTGTCTAGTTCTTTTATTAGGTCTTTGGGTGGAAGGAGGGGCGATAACATTAATAAAAAGGAATTATAATATTTGTTCAATAAGTCTTTATCAAGAAGAGATTTCAGAAATTTAAAGAAGTTGAAGAATGGGTGGGGTTAACTGGAGAACACTTCCTAGAGGAAGTAGGCCTTCAGCTATGGTGATGTGGTTTGGCAGCTGGAAGGAGGGAAAACTGTTCTGTGATTGCTTGGCAGGCTAAGCAACAGCTTGGAGGTAAAAGTGGGAGGTCCCATGAGGAGATTGGGAAACACAGAAAAGAAGTTTGTCTGGGATAAATAACATAGGCTGTGGTCTGATGGAACTGATTGATAAGTTGGGGCTAGCTGGTGTATAGATGAAAACACCTGTGAAGAAAGCATTGTTGCTATAGCATTTATATGAAACCTGATATTCGGGAACCTAGTAAATTTGCCTCAAAACCTTGCATGTGACTTTACTTCAGCATATGGATACTGGCTGCTAAAAAAGTGAATGCTTATTAAGGGAAGACAATGTTTTGACTTGATCCAAAATATCTTTAAATCCCTATGTGAATCTTTTTGACCTTCAGACATACTAAAAAAAAAAAAAAAAAAAAAATCCAGGTGTTTTGCAGTAGTCACCCTTTCGTGGCTGTACCTACTTTCACACTGAGGTTGGCTGACCAATTTCTTTGCCTTTTTTTCTACCTCCTGCCCCCAAGAGGGGTACAGTTGGAATGAATTCTGACTCTTAAGTAACTCTGGTAAATATTGGAATGAGGATAACTTTCAAACAATTTGTAACTATTCACTGAATTTAGCTTTTATAATTATCCATTCAACATTTGTGTGCTTTTAAAAAAAAATAATTACTCGGTGGTTCCAGCCTGCTTTCAGGGAACTTACGATTATTCAGATTTCATTCTTCCATTTTACCCCTGACCACCATTAGCAGTAAAAATTAATGATATGCTAATAAGGAGCACCCTATGTGAGGGTGAGTTTAGATGCCATGGGAATGGAGTGCCAATAATTAATTCATAAGATACAGAAATCTTATTCACATACTCTCACAGTTGTAAGGGCTATGGAACTAGATACTTAGAAATGGGAATGGTGCCTGCTCAACATGATTATCAGCTATATTACTATGGTATTACCCTGCTGATGTGATGCCTCTTTTTATCTCTAGTTAAATATTCAGCGTACACAGAAAAAAGCTTTTGTTGACTTCACAGAAGGAGAAATTAAGTTTATTCCCACTTATAAGTATGACTCTAAAACAGATCGATGGGATTCCAGGTAAAGTAACAAGAACCTTCTCAAAAAAATAGGCTAAGGCCTGATCTTATTTCTGTCTTTCCATATTGGTAAGGGACTGGGAACTTTGTAGGTCATGCCCTAAGCAGATAGAAAAACCTAATGGCTAACCAATGTCACAAAACAATGTGTGTACTAATTGTTTAACGAGAAGCTTGTTTGTTCATAAACCTTCATCTAAAGTACAATAATAAAAATAAATAATTAAAAATTATATAAATAAATATGAATTAAAAAAAAACCTAATGACTATGCTATTACAGAAGAGGTTTTTGTTTGTGTTTTTAATTTTATTTATTGTTATTGAGATTAAACACAGCAAAATGTACATCATTTCAACAGTTTCTACATATACAATTCAGTGACATTGATTACATTGTTTGAGTTGTGCAACCATTCTCACCCTCCTCCATTAACATGAACTCACTGCCCTCTAAGCTTCCTATCTAATTTTGAGTTGCTGTTGTCACTTTGATCCCACATAGATAGTTCTTAAAAGAGCTTAATGCTCAAGGTAGACATTCTTTACTAGTTAAGCTAAACTACTGTTTGGTTTTAAGAAGACTTCGGGGGATATTTTTGGTTTAAGGGTTAGCAGAAGAGTTTTTAATTCATGCATACTCACAGACAGATGGCATATGTTAGGAACATATTACTTATATGTCAGAGCTGCTGAAGTTGGGCTACCTGCAGTACCTATTTTCTCTCACCTCAGCAGACTTGCTTAGATTTTTGCTTTGCTGATCTCATCCCATTTCTTACCTATTGCAACTATTTAGTTGAGGATATCAGAAGGTGAAAATACTCAAAGGTCTGTGAAAGATTTTTCTAGCACAGTGGTTCCCATTCCTGAGTACACATTAGAATCTCCTGGGGAACTTTTAAAAGTACTGATGCCTGGGCCCCACCTCTGCTACAGCCATAAAATGTTAAGAACTACTGTCTAAGAGGCCCTTTGATTTCCTAATTACCTCAGTATAGTGCCTCTGTCAGTTAAGTTCCTGGTAACTATTTGTCTTCAACCTAAAATCTATCTCTTTGTTTCCGATAGTTTCTTAGCAGGCTGAGCCCAGAAGTTTGAAAGAGAAAGGGAATATTTTGCTTCTTTTAGGCTCTGAGAGCACTGGGGGTGGGGTAAGGTGGTGTGGGGAAGGTTCTGTTTGTATTACTCTGCTCCCCGGCTGCTGATCAGCAAATGAAAAGTGACACTCACAGATCTTGTACACTTTGCCTTGTTTTTTCCGCTCACCTGACTCGAAGCCAACTAAGGAGCTACTGATATTTGTGTCACGTTCTGGATCAGGTGTACAAGGTGTTGCTCATTCTAATGGAATGATAAATAGGTTTTTTCCCTACCCTTGGTAGTCTGTGGATTGTTATATATTCAGACTTGCATGCCTAGATGTTAGTTCACCTCTATTAGAGAAGCTAGACTTGCCCATAAAAGTCCAGGTTTAAAGGAGGGATCTCTACTCTTCATCTCTAGAGATTAGGCCCAGTCTAGGAATACGGGATTGGATTTTTAGATTTTATTCGTTATCTGTCTGGAGTGAAGTGATTTTGTAATTCATAGAGCAAAAGAGGATGCAGTGTTCAGAGTATAGTCCTAACTTTCTGAGGCTGTTTTAAGAGGGTGCTATTATACTTTCCCCCGTGGTGGAATTATTGACGATAGAATCCTAGTCTTAGGAAAACCATTTATTCGTTCATTTAGGTAGCTATTCACTGAGCACCTCCTTTGCATGAGGTACTGTGCTAGGTGCTGGGAGTTCAATGGCATACAGACAGACAGTTCCTTTACAGAGCTTGCAGTGTGGTAGGAAAGAGAATAGTAAGGATTGTTAGGGAAGGAGAAGTACATGGTTCTTTGGGGACATATAACAGGAGGGTCTAACCTGGGTCTGAACCAGTGTGGTGGGTATTACATGCTTGTGTGGTATGGTCTACGTTCTGTTAGTAACTCATTTCTTTATTTGTAGTGGGAAATGTCGGGTTCCAGCCTGGTGTGACCGAATTCTTTGGAGAGGAACAAATGTTAATCAGCTTCACTACCGGAGTCACATGGAAATGAAAACCAGTGACCACAAGCCTGTTAGCGCTCTCTTCCATATTGGGGTAAACGCTTGTTTGTTCATTCGTTTGTGCACTAAGTATCTATTCTTAGAGCATTATTTAGCCTGAAAGTAGATCAATGATTCCATGAGCCATAAATGTGTCCATAACCAAATAATCATTTGCAGCATTGGGAAGTTAGTGCCCTCAACCCTTCTAAATACTCTCCACATAGGTCTGCACTTTCCCAGCCTTTTAATGATGTGCATGTTTCTCATGCTGTACAACAGTTGGGTAGTAACTTTAGCCTTTTGAAGTCATTATGCATAAAGAAGAATGAGAGGTTAGGTTTTAAAGGATGAGTAGCTTTTCATCAGATGAATAGTAGGCAGGGAAGGCAGTGAGGGAAAGGTTCCAGGTGGAGGGAAGCGAACAGCAGGGGCAAAGGCACAGACTGTTCAGAATACAACCAAATCTATATATTAACTTAAGAGGTATGATGTATAGGTGTAAGTCTTCCGATCCAGGAGCATAGGCTTTAAATTTTTTTTTTTTGACTCTGTTGCATCCTAGGCTGGGTTAATGCCAGTTATTTAATTTTTTTGTCTCTGTTGTGAGTAAAAATTTATTTCCCATTGTATTTTCTAGCTTTGCGCTGCTAGTATGCAGGTTATGTCCTGTAATCTTCCTGATATAACTTACTGCAGCCAGTACATTTAGATTATTTTTTGGATTTTCCAGACCTACAGGCATGTAATCTGTCAGAATTTGTATAGTATATTGCTTAATAGGATGGACTTTATAATTGGACAGCTTGGATTTGAGTCCCATCTCAGCCCCTTTATAACTGTGTAACCATGGACAACTTATGTAAGCTCTCTGTGCGTCAGTTCCCTCCACTATAAAATGGGGGCAATAATGGTACCTACTTTTGAGGATTAATGAGTTAAGACATGCAAAGAGTGTAGTAGGGTAGATTTCTTTCCTCTGTGTATATGTCAATTTTTTGGCTTCTGAGATAGGTTTTACCAGCATATCTTGTCCTGCTCCTGTTTTAAAAAGAAATGACTTCGGGACTTTTCCTTTAAGTAGAAATCAGTTCTTGGCCCGAGTAGATTTTAAATTTTATTGAGACAGTTATGACTTTACTTTTGCCCATTTTGAAATTTGAAAATAATAATAGTAAGTGTTCCTCAAATAGTAGCTAGTAGCTACATGCCAGTGACTGTACTGGGCAGTTTGGACACATCTCATTTGCTCCTCACAACAATGCTTCAAGTTAAATATTTCCCATTTAACAGATGAGCAAATGGAGAACTAGCAAGTTTAAATGACTTCTTCTGTGTTTAAACCTTTTCTTGAGTTCTTATAATAGTGGTCTTATACAATATTTGTCCTTCTGTGACTGACTAAATTCACTCAGCATAATGCCCTCCAGATTCCTCCATGTTATGTTTCACGGCTTCGTCGTTGTTCTTTATCGTTGTGCAGTATTCCATTGTGTGAATATACCATAAATTGTTTATATCCATTCATCTGTTGGTGGGTGCCTAGGTTGTTTCCATCTTTTTGCTATCGTGATCAGGGCTGCAGTGAACATGGGTGTGCATATATCTATTCATGTGATGGCTCTTATTTCTCTAGGATATATTCCAAGGGGTGGGATTGCTGGATCGTATGGTACTTCTATTTCTAGCTTTTTAAGGAAGCACCAAATCGATTTCCAAAGTGGTTGTACCATTTTTCATTCCTACCAACCGTGTTCCAGTCTCTCCACAACCTCTCCAACATTTATTATTTGATGTTTTTTGGATTAATGCTAACCTTGTTGGGGTGAGATGGTATCTCATTGTAGTTTTGATTTGCGTTTCTCTAATGGCTAATGAGCATGAGCATTTCTTCATGTGCCAGTTAGCCGCCTGAATGTCTTCTTTGGCGAAGTAGCTGTTCATATCCTTTCCCCATTTTTTAATAGAGTTATTTGTCTTTTTGTTGTTGAGGTTTTGCAGTATCTTGTAGATTTTAGAGATTAGATGCTGATCAGATTTGTTGTGCCAAAATTTTTTTCCCAGTCTGTAGGTTGTCTTTTTACTCTTTTGGTGAAGTCTTTTGATGAGCATTTAAGTGTTTGATTTTTAAGAGCTCCCATTTATCTAGTCTCTCTTCTGGTATTTGTACATTGTTACTTATGGTTCGTATCCTGTTTATGCCATGTGTTAGGGCTCCTAGCGTTGTCCCTATTTTTTCTTCCATGATCTTTATCGTTTTCGATTTTATATTTAAGTCTTTGATCCATTTTGAGTTAGTTTTTGTGCGTGTTGTGAGGTATGGGTCTTGTTTCATTTTTTTGCAGATGGATATCCGGTTTTGCCAGCACCGTTTGTTGAAGAGACTGTCTTTTTCCCAATTGATGGACTTTGGGCCTTTGTCAAATATCAGCTGCTCGTAGGTGGATAAATTTACGTCTGGATTCTTAATTCTGTTCCATTGGTCTGTGTATCTGCTGTTGTACCAGTACCAGGCTGTTTTGACTGCCATGGCGGTATAATAGAGAATCCTGGAATATTTTTAATACTCTATACATATTAATCCGTAGCTTCCAGTAAGATATTTTAAAAATTTTCAAGTTTCCTGTGTAATTTTGTGTATCTTTAATAAAGGTCTACCTTTTTCGTTTTTAATGATTTTTAGATCACACAGGAATTCAAAAATGCTTTCTTTTTAAAATTAAAAAAATTGTTTTTTTAAACAAAATTTACAGATAAGGCTAAAGTTCTTCAATACTTGTTCTGCTCTACACTCCTACCTTCGCCGAAACCCCCCTCCCCAGCCAGGCCAACTACATTTCTGAGCTTGGGGCGTATTTTTCTAGACGAGCACTGTCCAGTAGAGCTTTTTGTGATGATGGAAGTGTTCTATATCTACACTGTCTAGTATTGTAATACTGGCTGCATGTGGCTATTGAGTGCTTGAAGTGTGACTGAGGAACTGAATTTGTAATTTTATTTATTTATTTATTTATTTAATTTAATTTTAAGTAATTTAATGTAATTTAATTTTAATTTTAATTTAAGTGGCCATGTGTAACTAGTGGCTATCAGACAATACAGTTCTAAACCTTTGCATATGCTTTTCTGTTTACCTGTAAACAGTATACAGTGAAACCTGTGAGAACCAGAGCTTGACCTGACTGCCTTGTTTTTCCAGGCCTCACAGGTTTTCTGCCTTTGACAGGGTGCAATCTTACCACTTTTCTGTTGCTCACTATTAGTGGAAAATATTTGAGTTTTCCTTCTCTGACAGGTTTCTGCCTTACACAGATTCTGGCCTTTGCAGGTTTTACTGTAGTATCGTTTTGTATATGGATGTGTATATCATAAATTGACTCATACTGTATGTGTTGGCCTGCAACTTGCTTTTTAATTTTTTAAAAAAATTCAGCAGTTTGTCTTGGAGAACTGTTGCTGTTATTGCATAAGATCTAGTTCATTGTACTTTTTTTCTTAATTCCTAATTTTATTGTAATTTCCTTTTCTAAAATGGATTTATCAGGTGGTAAAATTCTATGATGTTTTCTTCCCCCTTATTATCCTTGATGTGCCATTAAGTGCTATGATCATGATAACCCATTGAGAAGAGGTTTGATTTTATTGAGTAACCACCCCATCTTTTGGACTCTTGGGCATATTACGATTAGAGGCTTTAAAAACCACATTACATTTTTAAGCACAGTTGGCATCGATGACTGTTGACAAAGGGGCCAAGTGTTCAATGGCCAATTAATTAATTAATTTCAGAAGACTTGCTGTGGGCTGGAGATCAAGCTGAGATAGTGTCCCCACCCCTGCACTTAGTAATGTGGTTTGCTGCATTGTTTCTCAGAATTTGGTGGACATAGGAATTGTCTAGGGAGCTTTTTAAAAATGCAGGTGCATGGACCCCACCGCCTGGAGTTTGTGATTAGTAGGCCCAGGAATCTGCATTTTTTAAGACATTCCCAAGTTGATTTTGTTGCAGGTGGACCACAGACCACACTTGGTATTTTGGATAAGGTCTTGCTCTAGAGGTCTAGGTATCACCTTTGGTATTAACTGTAGCAGTAGGCAAGTTAGTTGATCTTTTTGTATCTCAATGTTCTCAACTATCAGAAGGAGAGTAATAATCAGTGCTTTGATAGCCTCATAGAGTTGTTGTGAAAATAAAATGACATATGTAAAATACTTTATTTTTTTTCTGAAATAAAAAGTTGCAAAATTTTGTAAAAGTAGAAGACACTGTTGTTAATATTTATAGCTATAGTTTTGGACCCTGGTGACACTAAAGTGGTTGCTTGATCCTCAGTTCTCTAAGATTTACAGTTCAAATATGTAAAAACCTTCACAGTCTTTCAGATATTTGGTTCAGCTTTGATGTTCTCATATTCCACTTTTGCCTCAGAACCTCTGCCGCATACATTAATTTTTCTTTTTGATATGGATTTTTGCGACTTTTTCTATTCGAAAAAGAAATGGGTTTCTCAGTAAGTTAAAGTGCTGTGTTTTATTCATTTTTGCCAGCGATTCGTATGAAGTTTTAATAATAAAAAGAACAGTGATATCAGGAAGCATAAAGTGCTGGGTCAGGGAGGCAGATATTTTGATCTATTAGTCAAGATGATTTGTTTGTTGGTTATCCTGGTTTTACTCTACTCTAGGACGTTTTGTGTAGGCTGTTTTCTAAAATGGCCGTAGGTTCCATTTATTAACATAGCTTTGCCATATATAATCTGAGCATTGATATTATTGGGCATAGCAGGTAATAATTAAACCCTTTAATCATATTTTCTGCTGTTTCACCACTTTATGATGACTGTTGGAAACAGTTAACAGGTGTGTTTTCACATTGTTAATTTGTACAGTGCAGGAAATCATTTTTACCACAATTGTCACATTTTCTCCACCAGTAAATAATTTAACAATGGAGCAAGAAAATATTCTTCCCAAGTATCTATTATTGCCAAACTTCTTAATATAGAGGTTTAACTTTTCCAGGAAGTTAGCCAAGTAGTCTTACCTACCTTTGCCTTAAAATGTGTGCTTCTGTATTTCTTAGTTTAATTTATGGTTGCCTTAGTGACCTTTTAAAAATGGTTAGAGAATCTTGGCGATATATGAATTGGGAGCACATAAGACTAAAATAAGAACCTGTTTTCTTTCAGGTGAAAGTTGTAGATGCACTGAGCTGTCAAAGTGTTGGAGAACGTTGCTTACACCACAGTTTCTTTTAAATGATGGCTGCAATGACCAGTTTTAAATTGTTATATAATCTCAAAGGGAGATGAGTTAGGAGCATGTAAGACTGAAAACAGTGTTTGTTTTCTTCCAGGTGAAGGTTGTGGATGAACGGAGGTATCGGAAAGTCTTTGAAGATATTGTACGCATCATGGACAGAATGGAAAATGACTTCCTTCCTTCCTTAGAACTCAGCAGGAGGGAGGTGAATAAAAATACATGGTCTCCCTGTCTTCTGCCCATTGCGGTTAGCACAAAGGAAAGCATCTTACTTAGAGAAGGCAACGCAGCAAAGTAGTTCAGAGTGTGTGCTCTGAAGATCAACTGCCTCTATTCAAATCCCAGCACTGCCATGTAGTAAATGTGTGACCACAGGCAAGTATCTTACCCTCCCAGAGCTGCAGTTCCCTGTTCTGGAAAAAGAGGTGGGTGTTAGGATTACATCAGTTAATACACGTGAAGCTCTTAGAACAGTGCCTGGCACATAGTAAGCCCTCAGATGTTGGCTGCTCTTATTTAATATTTCAGAGTTGCTGGTTAGTTCATATCACAGGAAATAGGAATTGGTCACAGGATGAGGATCCAAAAACAAGAAAAGTAGCAAAGACCATGTAACTCCTTGTCTTCCAGTGTGGGAATAACAATATATGAAAGTGGGTGGTATGAAGCTGGCCCAGTTGCACACCTGGTGAATAATTACCTTATTCTTTATTCATATTCTCTGGAATAATCTAACTGACTTACTTCCCCTACTAGTGATGCATGTTTGTGTCTGTCTGTTATTCCCCAGTTTGTGTTTGAGAATGTGAAGTTTCGGCAACTACAAAAGGAGAAGTTCCAGATCAGCAACAATGGACAGGTTCCCTGCCATTTTTCTTTCATCCCTAAACTTAATGACAGCCAATACTGCAAGCCATGGCTTCGGGCTGAACCTTTTGAGGGCTACTTGGAGCCAAGTGAGTTTTCCCTGTACCATTGTGTCTGCTTGCTGTGTACCAACACCTCCTGACTCCCATCCCCTCCCTTTTTTTAACTTCTTGTTTTCTAACCACATGTCTCTTACCTTCACTGTCATTATGTTTGTGATGCCTCTTTTGTGCACCCAGTCTCTTCCCTTTCATTGCTTGATGGTTTTTTTCAGGACACTTCTTCTGTTGGTTCTCATGCCCTGTTTTTGCTTTTCCACTGGAAGTTTCTCTATTACCAGGTATCATCTCTTACATTTCAGATGAGACAATAGACATTTCCCTTGATGTGTATGTCAGCAAAGACTCTGTGACCATCCTGAACTCGGGGGAAGATAAGATCGAAGATATTCTTGTCCTTCACCTGGATCGAGGCAAAGATTACTTCTTGACCATCAGTGGAAATTACCTCCCAAGTTGCTTTGGTACATCCTTAGAGGCTTTGTGCCGAATGAAAAGACCAATTCGAGAAGTTCCTGTTACCAAACTCATAGACTTGGTAAGAAGCATCCTAAGACACAGACCTCCTTTAGATGTAATTCTCACCATACTTAAGTGATGTCCTCATTGTCTCTGTGCTTTCTGTTTTGTTTGGGACTATCAAGTGATAAATAAGAATGTCACTTTACTCTAGCACTACTTGGATTAGCTTAAGCTAAGAGGACAGGGGAGACGGTAATTTGTAGTTGGCTCTCGTCAGGAATATAATATTAAGCTCACTGAATAAGATTAAAGGCTCTCTTCTCAAAAATGAAATTCTTATTTTTTTAAGCTCTTCATACTTTCAAGTCACTTCTATATATACTAGCATGCATGTGAAGTATGGTAATGGGGGGAGACAGTCTTGCCCCTGTTAAACATATAAGAAAACCGAGGCACAGAGACATTATCTTGCCCAAAATCAAATAAGTCAGTGACAAAATTGTCACCCCAGTTTTCTGATTCTCAGTCCGGTACTCCTCACTATACTACATTATATCTAACCAGAGTAAAAGTGTTACTTTTCAAAGCACAGGCCTGTAAGTGGACTTTGGAACACCTGCATCAGAATCCCCAGGCTGCTTGCTTATTACAAGTACAGGTTCCTCCTCTTCCCCCGCCCCCACCTCTGGCAACAGAATCAGAACCTCAGGATGTGGGGCCAAGGAATCTGCATTTTATCAGCATTCCAAATGATTATAATGTACATTTACGTTTGATGCTTATTTAATGTGATTCATTTAAGAAAGGAAAGGATGATTTCCCCACTGCCAAGCCAAGCTCTAGTTTCAGCCGCCTTATGAGGGAAGTGCTTATTATCTTCCGTAACATGAATTGATTTAGTACAAGTCCATCCTTCTAAATGAAAAGATTGTTGGATTTGTATGCAGACCTTTCTGGGCTTTATAAGTATATTCTTGGTCTTCTCCCAAAAGAAAACTAGGTCAGGTGTCCTCCAAATGTTATCATTCACATTAGTATTCTCGCACTCGTTTTGGCCTAGCCTGAGCAAGTGATTTTATTGTCTGTGGGGGGAGGGCTAGACCAGCAGGCAGGCTGCTGGCTCGTCTGAGTGCGATCTGCTCTGTTGCCATGGAATTGTTTTAGCTGTGACTCAGAGAGCAGATTAAAACACTGGAGTCCAGTCCCTGCATTCTTTCTCGGAATTTACTTGTTTCCCTAGAGCCTTCATGACTGAGTTTGTTACCTTTGTTTGAGAGAGAACCATTTTCTTCAGAAATTCATATCTTGACATTCTGATATTTCTTGTTTTCTCTTCTACCACCATATTCCTGTCTTTCTAATTTAGTATTTCACCTTTCAGAATACAAATCATTCTAAATAATGAAGTCGTTTTCCCGTTTTTTCCCTCCCCCTTCCCTTCCATCCCAAGCACCATTTCCCAGCTTTAGTTTTGCTGACTGTTCATTATGAAAAATTTCTAATATGCAGAAAAATAAAAAGGATAGTACAGTGAACACCTACATACTTTACATACATATATATACATATACATTTTTTTGCTGTACCATTTGAAATTCAGTGGTACTATCATGTCCTTTTGCCACTAAACACTTAGCCTGCATCTCTTAAGAAAAAGGACAATTTTTTTATAACACAGTACAATTACACCTAAGAAAACTAACAGTAATTCACAGTGTCATCTAATATTCAGTCCATACTCACATTTCTCCACTTGTCCCAAGAAATCCTTTTATATAGCTTTTTAAAAACCAAAATCCAGGCTGGGTACATGCATTGTATTTCACTAGGTCTGGTAGTCTCTTTTATGGTAGAACAACAGGTCTCTGTTTTTTTCTTTAATGACATTGACTTTTTAAGTGTCCAGTACAGTTGTCCAGTAAAGGGTCCACTGTTTCGTAAATTGACTGATTGTTTCCTCTTAGTATTTTTTAACTTATCCCTTTATACTCCCTCCTCCCCACATATTTCCTGTAAACTGGAACCTAGCTTTGTTTTTGGTAAAAATTGGGAGAGGGATTATAACACCCTTTGCCACAGTTTTTCCCATATTACTTCTGGAAATAGCTAGAAGGAGGCTCAACTAGCCTAAAAAGTTTTTATTTTATTTAAAATAACAACAGGTAATTCAACCATGTTTGCCCATGAATAGGAAGTAGCTAAAATCATTAGAGAAATTAATGACTCTGTAGAGAGCCGTTTTTCTTTTTGTGGACAAATGATTCCAGGTAAAAAATAGAACCCTGGTCATTTTTTAATTAGAAAATTACTGAGTGCTTGTTAAATTGTAGGTGTATGGTCATCATTTATTCTTTTAAAGCTTTTATTTTGTAGGATTTAGGGTTCTGATTCTTTTTGCAGTTTGTTGCATTTCAGTGTTATTAAATTCCTGTATCTCATTAATGAGGTATTATCCATATTAGTACAGATCAGTAAACAAGGAATCTAAGATTATCTGTACCCTATTCTTAATACCTTCCCAACCTGTTTTGACTTGATTTTGGCCTTTTTAAATGCTTTCTTAGGTCTGATGTTTGTTCATGTTTGTTCCAAGCCCCAAGATAAAATTTCAGATCCTGTAAGGCGATGCTATTAATAATTGATACTTGACTTCTATTGTGTTATTTACTCTAAAATATTAGTAAAGCCAGAAGTGAGTTCATTGCATGTGTTGAATCTTCACGTACTATCCCAGAATGATTCTTGTGCCACATCGTCTTCCCACCAAATACAGAGTGAAATAACTGGCATAAGTCCTTTTCATTCTTCCTGTCCTCAATGATAGTGACTTTTGCCAATGTCTAAGACTCCTAGAATAGTTAGGATTACCACCAATAACAAACAAATGAAAGTTTATAGTTATCTTTATCCTCTTCCAGAGTTAAGATATGTTTTTCTGTTTTATAGTTTAAATAGCATATTATCATCACTATTTATTCTTTATATGCTGGATACAAAGTATTATAGAGTTTATGTGGATTCCTATAATTTAGTGGTGATGTAAGTATACTTGTATGTATGATATGGCTAAATTCTAAATCACGGTTAATAGGGAGTTTGGTTAATGTCCAGTGTGTTTGGTTAAGTTAATGTTTTGGCAAATCATTTAAAATGAATGTTACAGAGCTTGCAATTTGTATTAGCCATAGATTCCTGTGCTGTTTACTCAAGCCCGTATATGCTGTAAAAGCTTATTGATTGACCAGCTAATCTCTGTAAAAATCAGTCTCAGAATCAGCCTATTTTGGCTTTAATGAATATTTGATGCACGTAGCATTAACAAGACTAGAAATGATAAATTCAGCACATAAGCAACTGGAGTAGAAAAATGATTTGGGGAGAGTCATAGAAGTATTTTGAGTCAAGTCAAAGGACGTAAGGAACCTGTATTATTACATTGGGTGAGCAGGCTCTTCCAGGCATAAGGGCCATCTTGAATAAAGGTGAAAGGAAAGGTGAAAAGTAAAAGTAAAAAGACCATGTGTGAAAAACTGTAAGATTTCCCTGGAAAGAGTGAGGAGTAAGGATAAAAGCGTGGGATGCTGGGTAGGTAGAATGGGAGCAGATGATAGGGAGCCTTGAAGTCAACAGATGATCTTCTGCTTGAGCCAGAGGACATCTCGAACCACCAGAAGGCTTTGATGATTAGTATGAGGTTGTAAATCAAACACATTCTGGTGTTGCTTGTAGAGTGGACTAATGGGAAGGAGGAGACCAAGCTTGAACTATCCAGATCTGGTTAAGGGTTGTGGTTGTAAACATAGAAATGAAAAAAATGCAGGGCTGGGTGGAGAAACCATTTGCTTAGGGGCATGCCTATTAGGAGAATGAATACCAAAAATATGGAATAACAACTTAGTAATTAATTCATCCCTGGTGGTCTTTTCACTGAGTGTTTACTTTTTCTTAACTGATCTAACCACTCATTTCTTATCCTGTTAGGTATATAATTGATGTTTCTTATTCCACATTGAACTAACCCTTTCCAGAACTTCACTTTCCTGCCTTTTATTTTTAAATTGAATCTTGGGTCTCTAATGTCTCTTACATTATTTAACCATGCATTTACTACTGAGAAGATTCTAGGAGGGTGAATGGTGGGGCAGAGAATGATTTGCATTGCATTTGGAGTGTGCCATTGTTGTCCCACTCAGACAGTCTGGAACTAGGTCCATTTTTTTTATGTGATCAACACAGCCTTTTGCAGAGAGTGGGCAGGTCAGTTGAACTAAGTGATTAGTAGTAATCTTAGAACTACCTGGGGAGTAGGCTGTTGATTAGGAGGGACTAAGTGATCTGTTTGTATTTTTAGAATTGATCCTAGTGTTGAAATAAATACAATTTATACCTGCTTTCTCTATGCCTGTACCCAAAGAGTAGACTCTTAAGGGAAAACTTGCTACCCCTCCACTAGTATCTAATCAGTCAAACTCCTTTTGACTCCTTTCAGTTTTCCTCTTTTATCAATTCAATACTCTTTTACCGTTATTAGTTAAGGTTTTTACTCTCTCATGTTTGTCCTACCTTGATAGCCTTTTAATGATTCCCTTTGCCTCTGTCTCTCTTAAGACCCTTCAGTGTTTCCTATTCAAGGCTGTCAGATGGTTCTATGATACTGCTTTGGGGCTTATCACTTACTTGCTTACAGGCAGTCAGTGGCTCCCCTATCCTTGCTGAATATAATCCAAATCCCTGAACCTGCCCCTTAAGGTCTCCCATAGTCCGACTTCAACATACCTTTTCAGATTTATTTTCCCGCTGTTTTTCTCAACATGCCCCATGCTCCCCACAAGTTAGATGCCTGACTTTTCCCTAACCTCACCTCATGATTTACCTTCTCTGTGCCTTTGCTTATTTCTGCCCTCTCCACTTGTAATGTCCTCTCCCCATTTTGTGAATCTTGTGAATCTTTTAAGGGCTAGTTAGGTCCCACCTCCATTGTGAAAAGTCCCCTGACAGTCTTAGCTGAAAGCCATCTCTCCTTTCTTTGAACCCCTGTTCTGCTTGTTTGTTTGCTTTTTTTTTTTTAAATACCATCTACTGACAACTCCTACTTGTGAATTATAACAATATGAGACTGTAAATTCTGGAACTCCTCACCATGACTCGATTACAAGCCAGGGTCAGGACCCATGTCTTTTTCCTTTATCCTCATTTCTATCTCCCTCCCAGAAAAAAGGAGGGTATTTAGCACACTGCCTTTTACTGGCAGATGATCACTGTTCAAAACAAACTTCTTTGAGGGCCTTGTCTTGACAGGTTAGTATACAAAAACTCTGCCTTGTTTTACTCAGCATGTGCCATGCATTCATGGGAGGAAAAACAGAGAAGTCTGTCAGGCCCAGGCAGGTTCTTTATTTGTTAACAAGTAGTCTTAAATTTTAAAAAAGGTTGTATGTGAAAAATGTGTTAAATTAGATGTTTGGCATTCAGAATTAACTTTCACATTAAAAAGTAATATAACTACAATACTATAAGTGTTGTATAATTCATAAAGAACTACTGCTCTGATTATTTTTATTTGACCTTCTGTGTGGTATTTAAGAGTCTAGGTAGCAAAATTATAGAGACAATAAAAAGATCAGGGGTTCAGTGGGAGGGGAGAGGGATGAATAGGTGGCGCACAGGGCATATTTAGGGCAGTGAAACTATTCTGTATAATACTGTAATGGTGGGCACATGACATTATGCATTTGTCAAAATCCATTGGATTGTACAACACAAAAAGTGAACCCTAATGTAAACTATGGACTTTAGTTAATAGTAATGTATTAATTGGTTCGTTGATTGTAACAGATGCACCACAGGAATGCAGGATGATAATTGCAGGAGAAACAGTGTGCAGGGGAGATGGGGGGTAGATGGGAACTCTACTTTCTGTACGGTTTTTCTGTAAACCTAAAACTGCTCTAAAAAATGGTCTTTAAAAAAGAGTCTAGGTAAGCTCACAAAAGCTTGTTTAGTTCGTAGTGTATCTAATAATACTAAAAAACCCAATCGCCATATGTAACAATAGCTTGGGGAAATGTACTCAGCATTACAACTTGGAATGTCAGGGAACACCACCGCCCTGCCCCGCCCGGCTCCCCATGCATTCCTGACAGTAAGATTGGGATTTCTCCTGTTACCTATCAGAAGTGAGACATGTGGTTTATACTTTAGTTCTTAGTGGTCTCTAGTGGGAGGATTCCAGTTGGTAGTCGCTGGAGGGGTGAGGAGCTTTGAGACTCAGGCCTTCTGCTGGCATACCCACTACCCCTTGGTTTTAGGCTACTTCCCTGTCCCTATGAGGTAAATATTATTATCCCTGTTTAGAGATGAAGAAACTGAGGCTCTACAAAGTTTTTAGTAACTAGCCTAAGGTCTGTACAAACTTACTAAGAGGCAGAACCAAGATTTGTACCAAGATGTGTCTAACACCAGCATCTCTACCCTTTCCATTAGGCATGCTGCCTTGAAATGAGGGCTTCTCACTGTCTTTAGCCTGTTACGGAGTGGAGTACATTCTCACAGCTTTCCACTACCTGTCTGTCCAGGAAGCAGTCACATTGTCCTTTTCGAGTTGTCTAAAGGAGCATAGTGGTAAGGGCTGTGGAGTCAGTCAGACCTGGGGTTCTACTCTTGATTCTGCCACTTACAACCTAATAGTAAGCATGACGTTGAGCAACTAATTTAATCTCTCAGAGTCTCAGTTTCTCTCTCTGTAAAATGGGAATAATATCTACTTTGCATACATGTGCAGATTGAATGTCATTGTATATGAACACTGCACAATTCTTGATACAGGGCACATGCTCACTAGGTGGTTGTGGTAGTTATTGTTGCTGTTATTATTATCGAACAAAATAACACAAAAGACAGAGAAGATAAAAAGGTAGTGTCTTCCTTCCCCCCTGCTCCCTCTTATACCCTGTAGGAAAACACAGTAGGGGATAGTGATGGATTTTCTGGTCCACAAAGGTCTGAAATGAAATTCGTGTACGTTCCAGAGGGACCTCCAAGTCTGGGGACTCTAGGGGCCTTTGAGGAGGGATCTGGGTATGGGAAGATAGAAAGGAATCTCGAATGCTGCTCAGGAGGCTAGCTAGGGGGAAAAGAATGGCAGTGGAGAGGAGAGAAGCTTACTGTCTCCTTCCCTGTGGCCCCCATCAGGCCCGCAACCAGATCCTCCCATGGCATTAGGGCAAGGGGAGGGGCAGCAGCAGGGTTGCCTCCAAGCAGCAGATGAAGAGAGGAGGCATCTGTGGGCATTTGACTGGGCCAGCTGGCAGCTGACAAAGGGCACAGAAGTCTAGGTCTGCACATGTATGTTTCTTGAACAATATCCTCAGTAACCGCACAAACTTGTGTAGTAGAGAACTTTGCCTATGGAGAATGTGTTCTATTTTCTGCCATCGTAATTTATTTGAAGAATTCAAAGCTGTTTAAAGCGTATGTGTCTAGTAAGCTAGTGAGTTCTAATAGTACTGATCTGTTTCTAATTCTGTAAGTTAATTCTAATCATTTTCTATCTGTAAATGACTTTCTTTTCCTGCTCTGCTCTCAGGAAGAAGACAGCTTCCTAGAAAAGGTAATGCAGTCCATTGGTGGTAATGAGAGTTTCCTTGTGCTTGATTAACACTTAACTGTGCTCCTTGGAATGTGTACCTAGGCTTACCTCTGACTCGGTGAGAATCTTCCAAAGTCCTGCCAGCTGTCTTTGAATGTGTCTGAAGTACATTAAAGATAGTTACTGCACATGTCAAGGTGTTGAGACTCAGTACATAAAAGCAATAGGACTCAAGGTTCTAGATTTGCATTTTCTAAATGAGAAGTAACTAAAGAGCTGTCTTGATGTATCTGAAAGCTCATGAGGTGGAGGAGGGTACTGCTTAGCTGTCCTCTATTTCCAATGATAGTAAAACCAGAAGAAGTGGATTTCTGTTGGATTAAGAGTGACTTGGGGTTAGTAACAATAGTGATGACTGAAAGAATACACAGAAACACTCGAGAAGTAGAGTGTAGAATAGAATCATGGAGCTGAACAGGATCTTAAGGGATCATCTGGTCCAGCTCTCTCTGCCTTCCGACAGGGCAAGGTAATGTCTCCATTGTACTAGACTAGACAACTAAGGCCCAGGAAGGTTGAGAAACGTGCTAAAGTCATACTGCTCCTGGTAGCAGGGGCATGGGGTGGAGGGTACTAGTAGGGGCCTGTGTGCCTATTGAAGCGCTCCTTCCGCAGTGCCTCACTGCCTCTCTATCGTCAGCCTGGAGAGCTGCCTGGCTCCACACAGGACTGTCAAGTAGAGGAATCTGGGATTGATAAAAAGTCTTAAAGCACTTTCATACAGTATCTGATGTGACCTCCCCATTTGGTGGAGCGCAGAGTTTAATGTGTTTTGATAATGGGGATAGTGTATTATTTTTGTGCTTTAGTTATTAGTACTAAAGTTACAAAGTATGGGAGTATCAGATACTGAATGTGTTTTGTTGAGAGATGACAAAGTGCTCTTGATTTTCCCTTTGAAAATTAGAGTTCAGGATAATCCCTTTGAATTATTTAAAAGTATTATCTCTTGTGCATGATCTTTCTTTAGACTTCAGAGACACAAGTGTGCTATTTCCTATTACCACACCTGAATTTGCAAACGGATAGCAGATAGTATATATAACCTACTGACACTTTATTAACCTTTTTAAACCATTGATTTCAGACAGCTCTGCTTCCTAGCCCTTCCCTGTTAGTAGGAGGCCATGTTCTGCCTTTTTATCTTGGACAGTGCCTTGTGTTGCCTTAATGCCTTAGTACAGGAGAAGTTCCAATTGGCTGTCAGATATTTTTTAAAGTACATGAATCAGTGCTGAATAATTTATAGATGGTAAGTTTGGAGGCATCTGCTAGAGAATCTGTACAAGTGTTGCATTTGGTCCAGAAAGTTAGCAGAGTGCATTATGGACAGTGTTTTGACTCTGACATCATGTGGATGCTTGGATTTACTACTTGCAACTGGAAAGAAGCTAGTGGATGAGCTGTTGATAGAAGTTCTGGCAACTATAGGGAATACGAATATCAAGTGATTGAATACCAGGGAAAGAAAAAAAGGAAGCAAAATGAATTTAAAGACAGTTGATTTTAAATGATAACCAGCTATCATGCTCCCTTTTCTTCCTTTTCCCCCTCAAAAAGGCACAGCAGGTTTTAAAAGGTCAGTGGTGCTTATTAAAGAACACACTGTTAGAAAGAGCCCTCAGCTCTGCTGTAGTCTACAGTATTGAAATGCTGATTTTCTTTCCCTTAAAGCTACATGGCTGGGAGTTGCGGATGGAGTTTACAGATTGCACAATGGTGTGCAAGAATTTCCTAAAGTCGAACATACACAATACCTGGTTTTAAGCTGGAGGTGGTTGGGGGGTTGCGGGGGAGATGCAGATAATTGGTCACAGTTTTCTCCACTAGGGTTTTTCTGAAGGCTGCCTTTTCACCTCTTTCAGACACCTTTTTTCATATAATTTATATTTGACTATATAAACATAAGATAATTGAGTTTGTTCCCCAATCATTTTTAAATTCCAGTTTAGTTATTGGTCTAATGTATGCCTCTTCTGGATTTTGCTCTTACATTCTTTCAGAAGAACCTAACAGAAAGTAGAAAGATGGGTGGATAGGGTGAGAGCGCCTAGAAATTTTTGCTAGACTGTTAATATGGACTCAGACCCTAGACTTTTCACAGTAGTTCTGGCACTTGGTTTTCTGTATTCAGTTTACTATTTTCGGATCTTACAGCTTGTGAGTTTTAGTGCCTTAAGTTTAGAACTTCTATCAAGCCTGAAGTATCCATGTGGGTCTAATGTGGAGAGTTGTCTTTAATTCCTGAGAAATGAAGAACCTCGTTTAAATCAAGAAGGAAAATAGTAATATTTGTGGTAAGACCTGAAAGAAGAATAAATTAAAAGTAAATAAGAACCTAAGTGTAGACACTGGTGTCTCGAAGTACTGTATTGACAATTGTAATTTCATGGTCCCCAAGTCGCCAGTGATATGTGGACTCTACTGTGACTGTACCACCGGAGCACTGGTTCTCAGTGTCAAGCTTGAAAGAATTTATAGCACACAATGCATCCACATGATAAACCTAATAAACCCAAATGAAGTGCTTAATGGTTAAGTGAAGCATTTTGGAAAGGAGATCCTTTAACCATGGGAAACAGTGTGGAGTGTCTGCTGACCAGGGGTGTCCCCAAGTGAGAAAAAAAAAGTTGTTGAGGTGATGATCAGATTATACCCACGTAAGCAGAATTTGAAGGAGATTAAGTTACACACATAAGACTTTATTCTGAGACACCTTTGATTCTCATCCTTTTTCATCTGTTAGGAGAAATCTCTTCTGCAGATGGTTCCCTTGGATGAAGGTGCCAGTGAGAGACCCCTTCAGGTCCCCAAGGAGATCTGGCTTCTAGTCGATCACTTGTTTAGATACGCCTGCTGCCAGGTAAGTGAGAGCAGGCCTTCTCTGTAACTTTAGAAGATATGTGAGTACTATGGGGTACTAAGCTACCTCCACACAACAGCACTGTCAGATCACCTGTGCTGGTGGTAATATCCCTATTGATGCATGGAAAGCTGAAGCATGCAAGCTAAGCGATTTCCCTAAGATTTCAGCGTAAGGGGAGTGGTAGAGCTTGGGCCAGAACTGAGAATGCTTGTCTCTTCGACCACTCTGTACCTGAGTCTTTGATGCCCACTTTAGCTTTCATGTAGGCAGTATAGAGTTTAAAGTCCAAGGCAGACTTCAAACCCATTTCTTTGATTTGGTCCTGATTTTGTTTTAATTCTATGTAAAGTACTAGCCATCCCCTCCTTCCCCAACCCGTCACCCCAAAAGAGAGAAATATCTTGGAATCAAATTGAAGGATCGTTTTTTCTTACCCAGAGAAGAGTAGCATTGCTTGAAGGTAAGGTCTAGTACGAATTGCCTTTACTGCTTCCCTAGCATTCAGTAGTATCAGTATTTGAATGTAGATATGCTGTTGGGTAGGTGCCCTGGTGGCGCAGTGGTTAAGCACTGGGCTGCTAACCAGCAGGTCAGCAGTTTAAACCTACCAGCCACTCCGCTAGAGAAAGATGTGGCAGACTGCTTCCATAAAGATTACAGCCTTGGAAACCCTATGGGGCAGTTCTACTCTGTCCTTATAAGGTTGCTGTGAGTCAGAATCGACTCGATGGCAATGGGTTTCGTTTTTTGAGTATACTGTTAGGACTCTGCCTTCGATTTCTTGTCAAGAGGCTAGAAGTGAAACACCTGGTTTCCTGATCTGTTCCCCTGCTGTAACTGTAATAGGCTAAAACCTTCTGATTTTCTTGTTTGAAATCAAATTTCGCACAGATTACAAAGACGATATAAGAAAAAAGTACTATTTTTCACACCTCCATCCCTAATTATTGGTACACACATCACCCTTCCTTTTTGCTTCCTTGCCTTGTTCCCTTCATTCTGACTTCTTTGGTAGGAGGACCTGTTCCAAACCCCTGGAATGCAGGAAGAGTTACAGCAGATCATTGATTGTCTAGATACCAGCATTCCTGAGACAATCCGTATCCTTTCTGATAAAGGCTTAGGAAGCTCCACGAGTACTTGGCCAAACTCTTCTTCCCACCTACATTCGATTTTCATGTTTCCATATTTATTTTCTTCGTAAAACTATCTGTTATTACAAGGTAGTTGTTGACTCTACGGTTGTTTCTCAGTTCCTTTCGACCTCTCTCTGCATCAGGTTCTTACTAAAAGGAATCAAGAAGTAGGTCCTAATGACTTTCAGTAGGAGTGGAACATAGGACTCACGGCACTGGTGCTGTTCTCCTTCAGGTGACTCCGGCCACCACACGGACTGTCACTAGGTCAGGGAAAAGGATGGAGAACATTGGTGGCTAGTTTGTAGGACTGATCCAACGTGAAATGTCATCCTGTGGGCTATAGTCCCCTGGCACTGAAGTTGGGCCAAAACCTCCCAAAAGTCTCTCATCAGTTAATAACAACTCAATTGCAGGGTGCCTGGGCCAATAAAGTATCAGACCACAGTTAGGATCAGTGTGCCCTGAGTAAGAGGAGGGAAACCACCCCTGAGGGAGTGTGAGCAGGCAGGGCCTGCGTGTTGCCTTTTCACTGGAGCCCCTTTCCCTTGACTTCTGCTCATCCAGCTGGCAGTAACCACTCTGTGGCTGAAGCACTGCTCATTTTCCTGGAAGCACTGCCAGAGCCAGTCATCTGTTATGAGCTGTATCAGCGATGCCTCGACTCTGCCCACGATCCCCGGATCTGCCGACAGGTGGGTTTTATTCATTCTCCCACATTCTGAGGATGTTTGGGGGCAGGTTCCCCCATACAGAAATCATCAAGTTTATAAAGCTAACTAGGCTTCCAGCTCCATGGTGGGATGGGTCTGGATCGGTTATTCATGGCAGGACGCCAGCACTGATACTCCTTACATTTTAAGTTTAGTAAACATTTCCTGGTATGCCTGCTACCTATTCCTAGGCGGCCTATTTCCATTTACAGAAAACATACTGGGGTGGATACCTCTACTCTGGGATAAGATTGGTGAAGCTGATTGCATGGAATTCTGGCTGACATTACCAGGAAGGGTGGGTAACACTGGGGAGTCTTTCTTTTTTTTTCTTCTTGGTCTTTGTAATCCTGAAATAATTTTGGTGCGCAGTAGCCGAGAATACCTCTGAATTGAACTATGACATTGTAGAGAAAACCATTCAGCTTGAGAAGGGCAGATTCACACCGACCTGCTTATGAGGCAGGTGGGGTGTGAATGTGTGATGACCACATGGCCTGGCGAGTGAGTGGACTGGGGCTAAACAGTGTGACCATTCTGACTTGGAAGTTATCATTTGGCAGTTATAATACTGGAGGATTATGACAGATGAATGCAATCCTGTAAGGGTTAAATTATCAACTACTTTTATGGAAGCTCTAAGTTCTGCTTACTTCCTTCTTCCCCCTATTTTCCCCACTTCCCCCCCTCTTTTTTTTTTATTGTTGTAATTAAATGAAGTTTACATTTTAGGTTAGTCTCCCATACAAAATTTTATACATACATTGTTACGTGACCCTAATTGCTGACCCCATTCTGCGACAGCACACTCCTCCTTTCCGTCCCTGATTCCCCGTGTCCATTCTACCAGCTCCTAACCCTCTCTGCCTTCCCATCTCACCTCCGGACAGAAGCTGCCCGTTTAGTCTCTTGTATCTACTTGAGCTAAGAGGCACACTCCTCACGAGTATCACTTTATGTCCCACAGTCCAGTCCAATCCCTGTCTGAAGAGT